CCGCAGGGTTTCTCTTGCACTCCCTCGCTAGCCGAGGCCTTTAGGAGATTTTCTACGGCAGGTTGCTTGTACAACTCCGGACGGATTTGGCCCACCGGCGGTTGCTCTTTTCGCCGCACGCTTTGGATTGTGAAATCTACGCTGGTGAAGTTGATGTGGCGATCGACCATCTTACGGCGGAAGGACGTGTGCCTGTCCGAGGCCACCGGCTCGGTGGTTTGCCGGACGAGCCGCTTCCCGTCCCGGCCCGCCATGCTATCCTGGCTGCCGAACTCCGAGGGTATGTCTGGGGACGAGAGGCTGATCTTGACGCCGTCCTCGTTCCCGGCGTCCTTTGGGGAGGAGGGAGGGGTGCTGTCGGGACTGAGGTTCTTGCGTTTCCATGACAACAGATAACACCTCCACCAGCAGTACACCACCACGATGAACAATATCATTCCGCCGAACGCCGCACCAAGGACAACCGTCAGGGGAATTTCTGTTAGAAAAACAGAAAGAAGATATGTTATGTTGTTTACCAAAGGAAAACATGTTGTTTTTGCTACGTTTCCTCCTTTTCTTCTCCGCCAAACACTGACCTCTGACCTAGTCAATGACCTGATTTGTTGACATCTCTCACCATGGCAACTGGTGTTGGGTTACATAATGTTGCAATTTTATAGCAGGAGGGATTTAGACTCCTGTCTGACCATATATATGAATGTATTTTGAGTAAGATTTAACTGAGCAGACCATATGCGAAGGTAAACATTATACATTTTCTCTACAAATATTACCTGTTTTAGTTTTATTTTATTTTATTGCTTTATTTACTTTAAAATACCTACTGCCAGAATATCAATATGAGTCCGGCATATGCAATATACACACATTTCGATACCTAAGAAACTTACCAAATTTGTGAGATTTACTTAGAAAAGTTGAACATCATTACATACTAGACCAGCATTGATGATAACTAAAAAAAAACATTATTTGGTGATATGAAATCATACTTCACACGGTCTCAAATATCACATAATTTGATTGCAATACACGCATACATGTATGTAGCTCTCTTCGCATGTGAAGGTAAAAAATAAGTCGATCTTTAAAGTTCATCATAGGACTAATAAATAGGCCTCTACTGTTGTTATGACATGGTAAAATGTCAGCATTTCTAAGTATAACATTTTAGCACTAGTGTTATCATTTATTCAACTTATTATGCTTCTTTGTGCAAACGCCCACGGCTTCGCTATCAACGAATACAGACCTATCGTTAGGCCACAGCAAGTAAATTGCATGGATGATATCCTCCGCAGACTCAAAATCGAATGCGATAGGGCGAAAAAAACAAGACGGGCCCCCAAAAATTAGGTTCCTACATTTTCAAATTTTGAACAAGAAATAAAATATGTTTACTGCAAGCTATTATAACTGACATCCATTCGTCACTGAGAAAAAAAGCGTCTTCAACCATTGTACAAATGGTTTTAATTCAGCGAACATGACATATAAAAGGAATAAAATGCATCACTGCATCAAAGTAAAAGACAAAACATTAAATCAGAGCCTTGTCTTGTCTCCTCTCTTCATATTTATCTGCCATCCACGTTCCGGCATGGCAACAGACATTTTTGCCCATTTTCGGCATAAAGACCACTGTGAAAAAGCAAAAAAAATTTTTTTTTTTCAAAATCTGGCGAAAACTAATGCGCGCGCTGATGTCATCCATAAAAATTACTTGATATGGCCTAACGTTACATTTCACCTTCAGTGCACATTCCGCAATGTCTATGCCAAGTTCGTACGTATTAATTATAAAACAGTCAACCGCAGAAAGTGCCAAGCAGTCTGCTAGTGAGGACATCCAGATAACACCGCTTGTAAATTATGTTCTCAGAGTCTGGCACCCTGGGGGTTTAATTCCACCAATAGGAGGAGTCGTAAGAAGGGTGTTTGGTATTAAAGGGCGGAGGAAAGACGGTCTGTGAAAAGAGATATGACTGGTTAGATTATAGATTTCCACGCTAACCTTTTCAGCTGCATAGTTTACTGAACTAGAAAATGGACGGTGTAGCCTATATGGACAACCATCCACTGCTTCTTGAGTTTTATTTTACACACAAAAAAACACACACACAAAAAAAATACAACTCTCTGCAACAATGTAGGAACATGTCAGGATGACCATTTTTGAACTTCAACTTTGTTTTCATAACCACTACCCATATCCATATACTAAATATCATTAAGATCCATTTACAGGTTTTCGAGTTATGCTGAATACATACAATCAGCAAATGTACAAAAATCCCACTGCAGTACCGTTGGAAAAAGCCAGGGTAACCATTTTTGAACTTGACCTACATTTTCACTACAGCTACCTACATGCCAAATATAAAATATTTATTAAGAACTTCTCAAGTTATAATGTTGACCTTCATACAGACGCACACCAAAGCTGCTCCACTAGGCTCAAACCGAAAACATAGCCTTCTGACGAAGACAAATACAGACGCATTTCTTTTACAAGGATTCCGCGGAAAGCACAGTCGTCAACAGAAAGTTGAAGTCCTCACCGTCAACTTGGATTCCACTATTTACGGTGGAAACACGAGGTGAATTCCAATGAGGGAATGAAAAAAAAAGTTACCTGAAGGACGTTGCGGATTACTAAAAAGATTTATGCCACCAGCGAGGATTTCTGTCCTTCAGAATGTGTCTGTCCTGACGGTGTTATTACTATGGCCACAGCAAGTAATTTTTATGGATGACATCGACGCGCGCTTTGATTTTTCGGCTGATTTTGGAAAAAAAATAACAAGAAATTTTGTTGCCCTCTGACAGTGGACAACATGCCGAACATTGGTAAATATGTCTGTTGCCATGCCGGAAGGTGGATGACAGATAAATGTGAAGAGAGGAGACAAGTCTAGGCTCTGATTTATTGTTTTTCTTGTACTTTTACTCTGTTGCAGTTTTGTATTTCATTCCTTTATATGTGATGTTGCCGCTGAATTAAAAAAAAACTTATTCAACAAGGTTTATGCTATCAAAATATGAAAATAAAGAAATCTTTTTTTGCCCTATCGCATTAGATTTCAAGTCTGCGGAGGATGTGATCCATAAAACTTACTTGCTGTGGCCTATGTGCGGAATTCCCTGATGAATTTACCTTCCCAGATTTGAAGGACGGTGATTCTCAGGGGTAGGCACGGAGGGGGGCATAAATGTAGATGAAAATGACATAAAGTTAAGGTACCGAGGAGACAGGGATTGGGCTTAAGACGGGAGACGGGAAGACGGGTGTTGGTGGCTTTAGGTTCTTTCTATGTCCACAAGGTGTGTCGCAACTTAAGGTGTGTCACAAAGCTGCAAAAGGATAGGCTTGACTGTACATGTGATGGGCGCAGTGCAAAATTGTATATACATGGGACTTGAACATATAGCGGCCTACTTGTAAAGATAAGAATTCCACATGAGTGTGTATTTGAGAAACGTATATGGGCGGTAGGTTCTTTTTTTGCTGAGCATTTTGTTGAGTATCACGATTGGTCGTTTCATGGTTGAGTTTTGGGTGTTGGATACATTATCGTACTATTTTAGGAATAAAAACCGAGCAGACGTCAGGAGGAAAAGACTGGCTGAATAAAAGAAGATATTTATAAGTGGCACAGTTCTTAACCGCTTATAATCGTTAATAAACTATTACAAAATACCCGTTAGAAAGAACTCATGATATACAAAAATTGTGCGTCTAAGTGACCTAGGTGACCAATTATTTGAGACACACATCGTCATCATACAGCTATTTTAACTTTTTAAACTAACTTTTTTTGTTCAAATCATTTTTGTCTCTGATGCGAGCAAATGTTACTCCTGAATGATGAAGCCTGTATTTGTGATCAAATTTTCTGGTCAAAATCAAAGTCATTTCCACCTAGTACTTCAGTCGCGACGGCAACGCGACGTCCTGGAATGAAGTTAATTGAGAGTATTTCTAGTGGAATCGCCCAGTCAATCTACATTCTTAGTACTCCCACTGGTACACTTGCGTTCATGCGGGCTCTAGATACGATCTTCCTTATCAACGTAACTCCAAGGGGGTTGTCTACTATACCAGGAAATTACCTTTCGCATCCAGAACCGTAATCAACGTGCCTATCTAGTTCTATGCCTGAATTGGTTAAGGTTAGGTACGGTTCTGGATAGTCCAAGCATTCTAGAACGTAGATTTACGAAAGACACGGTACTGAATACCCCTAGAATATCCAGAACCGTAACTATGACTAGTGCTTCCATAACTAAGGCTACAAAAGCAAGCAAACAGTCCAAAAAAGCAAAAGAGTCCATTTCCAATCCTACAAAGACCTCTCGACTATGCGTTTGATAGAACTAGCCATGTCCAACCAATACGATTTCATTATATACATGTAATTGTTGTATGCATATGTGTTTGTGTAACGTGACCTGTGCTTAGCCCAGTGGGGCAAACATGTACAATAAAGGTCTTCATTCTTAATGTTCTAAGACAAATAATTTCCCGTCATTTTGAAGTAATATTCATGCCTCACTGCTAATGAAATACAACCTCTCCACCTTTGAAGTATAGAAGAAATGAAGATCACCAAGCCCCATATACAACCTCTTCACTTCTAAAATATAGAAGAAAAAAGATCACCAAACCCCATATACAACCTCTCCACTTCAAAAATATAGAAGAAAAAAGATCACCAAACCCCATATACAACCTTTTCACTTCTAAGATATAGAAGAAAAAAAGATCACCAAACCCCATATACAACCTCTTCACTTCTAAAATATAGAAGAAACAAGATCACCAAACCCCATATACAACCTCTTCACTTCTAAAATAAAGAAGAAAAAAAAGATCGCCAAACCCCATATACAACCTCTTCACTTCTAAAATATAGAAGAAAAAGATCACCAAACACCATATACAACCTCTTCACTTCTAAAATATAGAAGAAAAAAAGATCACCAAACCCCATATACAACCTCTTCACTTCTAAAATATAGATTCTGAAGAAAAAACGATCACCAAAACCCATATACATTACGTATTGAGAAAAAAATGCCCTTCGGGTCCAAAGATTACCCCCAAAACTCACTTTAACTCCAACTCCTCAGAGTTCCTCACGTCATACTATCAGATAGAGGAATGATAACGTTTCCATGGTAACCGACTTACGTAGATTGTTGCTATGGCAACTAGATGTTGTCTAGTTCCTGTTGCGATAAAGAAATGCACTTGAGTTGACGATAGCATCGGAAAAGTGGAACTACATTAGTCAGACTACATTAGGAGAAAGGAAGCAAAACGACGTAACTTCGCAGTTTACATACATTAACATGCACTATGTGCCATTTTAGTATTTTAGACCATTTTTATTCATGTGAAAAGACATTACAAAGTAATGACGCACTCAAGTTATGTTAGAGGCACCACTGAACACATATATACAAGACTGA